ACACACATACCACACCTCAGATTTTGTTATCCTCAAGCATTGTGAGAGTTTATAAGTAAATTAATAAACATAACCTGATAAATTAAAAAACCGTAAGCTACTACGGGTGTATTCTGATAAAAGTAAATTCATACAAATGCAAGCACTAGGAAGTACTTTTAACACAGTATGCTTTTATAATGTAAAATGTCAGTATTTCTTCAAACATTAATAACTGGCTCTTAAAGTGAACCTCACTTGATCCACAAAATACAAGTTGTGTATTTACTATTAATGATTTCTAATGGGTCAATATTCTGCTATGAATCATGATTGAACTTGTTAATGGACACAGAGATGAGATCTCTCACAATGATAGCAAAAAACTGAGAATGTAATAAAAATAAATTACTGGTAGTGGTCTTGTATTTTTAATTACCTATCTATTATTAAAAAATTATTATTGTATGATGTAGTACTACCTGTTTCAGTGAAGTACAATATATTTTACCCTGTTCATGATACTAGTGAAATAGTAAATGATAAAAATGAAGTAGAATGATTCACAAAGTACTTGTTAATTTCTTAGATTGAATTAAGAGAAAGTACCACCAAAATTAAATAAAAAATACATTGTTGAATTACATGCTTGTTCTTGGAATAAACTCTACTAAGCAAAAGATAAAAGCATTTTAACCACACAGTTTGCATGTTGCACACTAATGCATTTTCCACTCAATACTGCAGCTCATCAGGTTGGCTGGTTTTATAACAAACAAAACCTCAGCCAAAATAATATATATACATATCTTAGAAAAAAATTAATTGTTTTCACTGAAATCAAAGTTTAAAAAAGTTAAATTTTAAAAGTAATCCCCCCTTTAACATTGAACTAACATACCAATATTTTTCTTGAAACACATGCATGCAATTTCTTTAGGAAATAAAAAAAGTCTATTTAGTCCCTTTCTATAAAACAATGAAAATACTCCTTTATTAAATACCGTAAATAATATACATTAATAACATCACAAAACATACAAAATGACTAAAGAGACACTTAAAAGATATCTGCTATGCTCTATCATAACCATTTTAAATTTCATAAACTTAAAGCTTCTCAAGAATGAACTTGGGATGTATCAATTACACTTTTTGGCCAATACTTGATACTTGAAAAAAACTTTGGCCTATACTAATAACTTGGAACTCATGTATGGCCCGAGGTTGGTACCTGTTCCAGTCTTGCAAGAATAATTAAATAAAGAAGGATGAGATCCTTTGATATGGTAGAATGCCAACAAGAACATCCTTCTGCAAGTCGCAAAACTTGCCCATAGTTATCTGAGTCCACCAACATGCTCAGTATCAAAAGGGCATCTCTATTTCTCTCCTTGCACTAAAATAAATTTAATGAGCACTTTAAAAGAACCATTGTTTCAATAACAAATAATTTAAAAAAAAAAGCTGTTTATTCCACATGTGCACTGACTTCACAAATCTCAAGGACAGAAAGAGTCAGTTGGCTCCATATTGGCTAATACCAATATAATAACAGAATGGCCAATAGAGCTATATTGGTACATCCCTAAAAAGAATACAAATCATCACAATAATAAATGAGTACTTTTAATTAAAGAATTCAAAATCTACTCTACTGAAGGGTAAACCTATTTTATCCACCCCCTTCATACCATTTCACTTGTCATTTAACCCTTTCACTATGATGTAATTAAAACTTAACAGTAACTATTTTTGACAGTTTGTATAGATCTGTAATATTCTTGTAACTTGTCAACTTTTTAACAGATAGTTATAATAACTATTTCAGTTATTTTCTTATGAAACAATAGTTTTTACTTACAACTTTTCTACTTATGTTAAAACTTTTAATTCATTGATTTTAATCCTATTCAGTCCATTTTCTAGCTGATTATACAGGAATATCATGTAGGATTTTGTAGCTTAAATTTTATTATTAACATTTAATTTGTATCTAGAGTACTTTAGTTTCCTCTTGACAAAATGCTTCCTTAAAATGTGATTGGCTTCCTGTCAACACATGATTATTTTAAGTTTCAACCAAAAGCACTAACAGAGTAAAAGCAACCACAAACTGGGATTTTGAATAAATTTAACAGTATCTGAGGAGAAAGAGAGAGAGAGCATCAGTTGCTTTCTGATAGAATACACTGAACTGTATTGTCAGCAAATTGTTCATGACCTTTCCCAAGTATTCCATCCATATTCTACTGTCCTTTGGAAAGTGTTACTACAGTAATAAATGAAGGTAACAGTTACAAATTAATATACTCAAAACCCAAGCCATTAGAACATTTAAGATTACGCAAAGTAAGTTCTTGTTCAAAGATAATCCACTATTTCATTAACAAAATTCAGAGGCTGAACAACACTAAAACTTCCAAATTAGTGTATTTCTTTTAAATGTGTTACTATAATTTCAATATTAAATATATTATCAAAAAAAGCTGGCACATGTGAAAATAGTCAAAAATACCAATGCATACCATCAAAACTTTTTTCTTCGAGCATCCAGTAATTAGTCTCAAAGTTTTGTTCATCAGCAATATCTTGTAAAAGACCAATGAAATCAGTGGTGGGTTTATTCAAGTCAGTCATATGTAATGAGTACAATATCTCTCCATCTGAAGACTGAAGACCTTGGATGAACTTTAGCACATTTTGACTGTAGTCAGGTGTTGGCAAGTGTAATTTCTTTGACTTTTGCTTAAAATGGTTCTGTATCTGAAACAAAAGTTTTCTTTAACAAGTCATTTAAGAAGCACACACAGCCTTCCATTTCAGAGAATACAGTAAAACTAAAGAGTTCTTTACTCATTATTGATCAAATTGCCATTGGATAAGACTAGTTTGCTAAACTAGTTACATTTTACTGCTGTCTAATACTAGGTTTATCATCAGATCTTACTTATTTAATATTATTCATTAGAAAGAAATAACAGCAAAAATTTTCATTTCACCAACAACTTTATGGTATTTCTATAGTAATTCCTTCAAAGGCTATGACTGAAAAAAAACTATGATTCAATCAAAGAAATCAGGATATCACTAAAACGTTTTGTATATTTCTGTTATTAATTTACTAAAAGAACAATACTTGATCAGACACATTTTATAGAAAAGAGCAGTTAGTGACTTTTTACACTTGATCAGAATGTGTTCAAGGACAGCACAAATTACTGAAGTAATTTTAAGGCTACATCTATTTTGAAGTAAGATTACTAGATTTTTCAATGTCGTTTCACACAACATTTTAAAATCAGTAAAACATGGCTCTAATACTAAACGATTGTTATAGCTATATTTAACTTTAGAATCTTAAATCCACACCACATAGAAAAGCTGAACCTCATATAAAAACATACACCTAGAAGAATCTGGTTCTAAACGGAACTTTTTTGTAGTACACGTTACAGTCTCTTCAGCTTCCAAGGTTAAAATCACACACACAAAAATTTTTCGTGAAGATGTACAGGTTTGTTTTTTACACTTGTTATTTCATTAGTTTTCTAACTGGTTATCTGGCAGGAAGTAACTTGTTCTTGTGAGGGTATCAATATCTGCTTCAGATAAATTTATAAAATTTTAAAGGGACAAAAAGGAGCTTATTAGCCCATCAAGGATGTCCCTTCCAGCTCCCAACTATACCCACCCCTTATTACTCATGTATTCATCCAATCTTTTCTTGAACTCAGTTAAATTTTCTGCCTCCACCACCCTTGAAGGCAGCTCCTTCCAAAAACCAACCAATACTGTCTAAACTGCAGATGACTCCTACACTGCTAGAATTTGAATACATGACCTTTTGTCCTATTGTTTTCACTTCTAAACACAAAAACGTTTGGTGGATCTATATTATCAATACCCTTAATAATCTTAAACACCTCAATCAAATCCCCTCTGACACTTCTCTTCTCCAGAGAAAACAAGTTTAGAGATTTTAGTCTGTCTTCACAGGACAATCCCAGGTATCATCCTAGTGGCTCTTCTCTGAACCTTCTCAAAAAATTCAATGTCCTTCTTGAGGAAGAGAGCCCAAAACTGTACACATTACTCTAAATGAGGCCTTACAAGTGATCTGTACAGTGAAACAATAATATTCCTTGTCTCTTATTCAATATTTCTATAGATGCTACCCAAAATCCTGTTAGCCCTATTGCTAGCTACAATACATTGTTTAGATGACTTAAGTGATTTATCGATCACAACACCAAGATC